ACCCTGGCTCCCAGCTGCACCAGTCTGCTCAGGCTGCTATAGCCGAGCACCACAGACGGGAGGGAAGGAGGTGCTTACATAACAGAAATAAAGTCTCTCACGGTCCTGGAGGCTAAACACTCAGATGAAGGTGTCATCAGGATTGGTGTCTCCTAAGGGCTCTCTGTGACTTCCAGAGGGTCATCTTCCCACTCTGTCTTCACATGACCTTTTCTCTTTGTGTACTCACTCCTAGTGTCCCTATGTATCTTTTTAAAGAAAAAGAAAACAAAACAAACAAACCAAAAAATTTTTTTATTTATTCATCTGTTGTGATTTTCAAGCCACCAAGTCCAGGACTCAAACCACTGTCTGCTCTATGGCAATCCAGTGCCTTAACTACTATGCTACCTGCTAATCCCAAATCTCCTCTTTTTAGAACATCAGTCATACTGGATTGGGACCTACTCTAACAATCCCACTTTAATTAACTTTTTTTTTTTGAGAGAGATTTTTGCTATATGGCACACGTGCTCACCAGAGAGACAGAAAGAGATGCACAGAAAGTGAGAAATCACCCCCCGGGGGGATGGCCATATTGAAATTCCCTCTCCTCCGTTCTCCTCTTGAGATTTTGGGCACGCACACATGCACCTGGTGTGAATTTCAAGCCACTGGGTCTGGGACCCGAACTGCAGTCGGCCATGCAGCCACAGCATAGTGGTAAATCCATTGCCTTAACCACCATGCCACCTGCTGGTCCCTCAATTACCTCTTTAAAGGTCTTTTCTCCAAATATATTAAGAGTCGAGGACTTCAATATATGAATCTGAAAGGAACTGAATTCCACTCATAACACCGATTTTCCACGTGTAAGTTTAAGAATGGTCAGGTATCATCCTGGGCCCACTTTTAGGGACTTAGTTGAGTTGAAACTAACAAAAGAGTTCATCAAAATTTCAAGTCAGCATGCTTTGGCCCTAGAGAATAAGATCAGGTTTCAAAATAACCTGGGAAGGTGGGAAAAGTGAGCAGTTGAAAATAAGAACCACCTGACATTTTGTACAGTTAGACCTCACTTTGTTCCAGCAAGGACAGGAGGGGAGATGACACCCAGATTAATAAGGACATAAAGTCTGTCCTGAGTCCTTTTTTATCCTCTCACTGTCATGCCCTGGCTTCTTTGGTCCCTGCCCAAGTACTTTGCTTGTCACTCTTGGTGACTGGAGTACCCATGAACATTATGCCCTGGAGATAGGGGAGGGAAGGAACAGTTAGGAAATAGTTTTTCAAGCCGGAGTACAGTACGCCAGGGGCCTTGAAAAAGTAAGGTGGTTTCCAGGTGACTCCGCAAGAGGCAATGTGCAGCCTCGTGTATGCGCACTCAGATGAGCTCTTTTGTACTTCCATGAAGAATCATCATTAAAACATGAGAATTTTTCTTTATCCACTAGAAAAAGCTGATTTTAGTATTCAAATGAATAATATTTATTTATTTATTTTCTTTTTTGAGAGAGAGAGGGGAGTTTTTTGTTTTGTTTTGTTTTGCTTTTGCTATAGGATATGTGTGCTCACTAGAGAAACAGAAAGTGAGAAATCACCCCACAGGGCGGACAGCCGTGCCACAATCCCTTCTCTTTCATCCTTCTCTTGAGATTTTGGCCATGCACACACACATGCGTGGTGTGAGTTTCAAGTCACCGGGTCCAGAATTCGAACCACAGTTGGCCATGTGGGAGTCCAGTGCTCTAACTGCTACACTATCTGCTGGCCCCAATAGGTATCTGTTAAACACCTATTATGTACCAAGCAATATGCTGATCACTTAAGGCTACACTGATGTGCTTGTGAGTAGTCTTTAATAATAAAAGCACATAAGTGCCAAGCATGTGTACATTCACCCACATAATAGCTACAAAGACCATTTTACAACTGAGCAGTCAGAGGTTAAAAAAAAAGTTACTTACAACTCACTCAAATCCTCACTAGGAAGAAACAAGGCCAATATTCTAACTTAGAAAAATCCGGAGCTCCAAGCTTCATACTGGTAAAAACTACACTCTTTTGTAATAAGGTATTTGTCAGTTAGGCAAGGAAGTTTGTGAGTCTTCTTCTCCAGCTGTTTAGATAGGCTGAGATCCATAGTAAAGGATTGTCTGAAAATATAACTGAGTGTCCAGATCAGGTTGTGGTATGGGGAAAGAAGGGGGGAAAGTGTTCAGGAAAGGAAGCCAGGAAGAGGCCAAAGAGCAATTGCACCAGTACCTAAGTTCACTTGGTGCTGAAAGTAAAAAAGAAAAGCAGTTCAGAACGGTCTGTGGAATGCAAGATCTGCTAAGATGCCAAGACAGGCATAATAGGCATGAGGCCTTGGTTACACCCCACAACCTTTGAGGTTATTGCTAGTAGGCATGCCTTGGTTTACAGTAAGCAAACTGTGACACCACAAATTGTTATAGATTTACAATAAAACCTCTGTTGCAACGCTCCCCGAATCTATGACATAAAGAATAATGGAGGGCCAGCTCTGTGGTCCGGTTGTTAAGGGGGCTGGACCTCACATAGCTGACTGTGAGATCATGCCCCAAATGTTTTCTAGGTTTTCACATAAGGCACGTGCACTCGCCAGAGAGAGAGACAGAAAGAGACTGAGAGGGAAAGTGAGAAATCATCCTCCCAGGGAGATGGCCATGCTGCAATCCCTTCTCTTCCATTCTTCTCCTGGGATTTTGGCTATGCATGCACATGCACCTGTGTGCATGATTTTCAAGCTGCCAGGTCCAGGACTCAAACCATGGTTAGCCATGTGGGAGTCCAGTGCCCCAATCACTATGCCATGGTTGTGGTTTTTTGTTTTTGTTTTTGTTTTAGAGGTTTTTGCTATAGGGAGCGTGCGCTCGCCATACAGACAGAGAGAGAAAGAGAGAAATCATCCCCCAGGGGGATGGCCACACTGCAGTCCCTTCTCCTTCATTCTCCTCTTGGGATCTTGGGCACACACGTACCCAGCGTGAGTTCTAAGCCACCGGGTCCTGGACGCAAACTGCGGTCAACTATGTGGGAGTCCAGCAACGTAGCCATTACGCTAACTGTTGGTCCCCCATTGGTGTGGTTTTCACCTCTCCCTTTCCCTCTTTTTCTTCTCTGCCTCTCCAGAGAGCACATGTACCCTCTGACAAAGAGAAGAAAGAAAGAGAGAGAGAGAGAAGAAAAATGGAAAGAAAAGAAAAATATAGACCTAGACTAGCCCTGCAACTTCTTACTAGTTAAGGGAGCTGAATCCCACATGGGCTACTATAGTTCAAGTCCCAGCCCCGGTGACTTGAAAAACATACTGGATATGTATCCCAAATCCTGACAGAATGGAGAAACAGAGAAGAAAGGATTGCAGCGTGATCACCCTTACTGAGGTGTGCTTTCTACTCCTCTCCCCGCCATCTCTGGCAAGAGCATGCACCCTCTAGAAATCAGGGGGGAAACCCCAAATGTATGGCTAATCCATTGTCAGCACTATTTTAAGTGAACCAGTGTGAATCCTTGGCTAACAACTTGAATGTCGCCTCTTCTTGCCCTTCTCTCTTATGTAAGTCAGCTCTCTCAGCAGCCATTTTATTGCTGCAAATTCTAGACATTCGTCCTATACCTTTGGCACAAATACATTTTCACTTCACTCACTGTGCCAGAGTTTTTAGATTGACAAATTGATTTCAAAAGAAAACCTGCTATGAAGGTAACAACCAAATGTGTTTCATTTTAAAATGAAGCGTTCAAAGCAGTCTTAAGTGGTTTCAAAAGTTGACTCTCTAGGGACCAGTAGTTGGCATAATGGCTGTACCGCTGGACTCCCATGTAGTTGACTGCAGTGCTAGTCCCGGACCTGGTTGCTTAAACTCACACAGAGTGTGTGTGTGTGTGTGCGCCCAAGATCCCGAGAGGAGAACGGAGGAGAAGGGATTGCGGCATGGCCATCCCCCCTGGGGGGTGATTTCTCGCTTTCTGTCTCTCTGTGTCTTTCTGGTGAGCGCACATGCCCTATAGCAAAAATTAAGGGTGCTAACAGAAAGGAAAAGTTGACTCTATCTTGAACATCATGAAAAAACATGAACAATAAAAAGGTAGACTGTACTCTTAACTGTCCCAAACTGGCCATGGCAAGCTAGAGCAATTCTTGGTCTCTTTTCTGAGCCCTGTGATCGAGAGACTGGGTGAGGCCAGAGTCCTCTGAAATGTTCCCAGGGGCCAGCAGGTGGTGTGGTGGTTAAGGGTGCTGGATTCCCACATGGCCGACTACGGTTCAATTCCCGAACCTGGCAGTTCTCTCTCTCTCTCTCTCTCCCTCTCTGGTCAAATTAAAATGAATAAAAATGAATAAATGAATAAAGTTAAATAAAATAATTTTCTAAAAGAAGAAATGTTCCCAGATCTGCATTTCTAATTCTGTTTGTAATTTTTGTTTCATACTGAACCCTCAAAGTTTCTTCACAGTTTCAACATTAGAGCACAGACAAAAACTAAATGTTTAACCCCACCATTTGGGTAACTGTGTAAAAACTGTCCTGTCAAGGTTCTTGTACAAACTCCCATTGTTCTCCCACACTCTGAGAAGTGGCACTCCAGAATAATTTTATGTGGGTCAGCATCTTTTATAAAAGGAGTAGGCAGGGCAGCTTATGAAATTAAACTCTTGGAAGCCATGCAGTTACTTTCAGGAAATGTCTTTTATTTGTTTTCGTGGTGCCAGTGTTCCCTAACGTTAAAGACTCCTCGATGAAAAGGTCGTTCCACACTGCGGAGGTTACTCGCAATCACAGTTCAGGATCCAAACTTGAGTTTTGACTTTAAACAATTTATAAAAGCCAGCGACTGTCACCTAGTGTTTGGTTTTTAGCTGGAACGAGAGCTCGTTCGCCTCCCAACATTCCAGCGCATCTGCTCACCCACCGAGCACTGCGGCTTGGAAAGCGCAGTCGGATGCGTTCCCGGCAGCAGAGAACACCTGGCGTCCGGTGACCTTCGGCTGACAAATCGACTCTCTGGAATGTGACGACCTGGCAGCCCGGAGCACCCCAGGCGGGGAGAGCCAGCCAAAGACCTGGGTACGTCTCCTACACGTGCTTGCCTGCTGCTCGGGGTAAGCCAGTAGGTGGGAGGCGCCCTCTGTACACCCAGGGCTAGGTTAGAGTCGTCGCCTCCGCCGCCCACTTGCACCCGCGTATCAGCCTGCCCTGAAATTCCGGATCCACAGTCTCAAGCCCTCCCTTCAAGTCTGCGCGGGCCCTACAGCTTCTGTGCACGAGGCGGGGCTCAGCGCCAGCTTGGGGGGCGGGGCCGAGGGCCAGCGGGGCGGGGCTTGGCTGAGCGCCTAGCAAGGCGGGGCGAGGCTCTCCGCTGGGCTATGTTTGGCGATGGACCGCTGGGCCGGCGCGGCGGGGCGGGCGGGGCGGG